AGTGACCAGCTCTTGAATGTAAATAACGAAAAGGAGAGCCGTGGAAGTGAAAGAGCTGAACAGGAAGGTGGAAGAGAAGACATTATTACGATGAAATGTGCAAAGGCCTCGAATGGGAAAACCCAAAGTGAAGGACAAGCCCTGCACTTCTCAAGTGAAATATTCAAACCTTGAGTTGCAGTACTGAAAGACTCTATGGACAAAATAGTGACCAAATGCAGGAAGCATTAGAAGATGGTAGGAAGAGTCACGGTACCAAAAAAACTGTTTTATGTTCATTTATTTCAAGAGGCAGTATATGACCAAGCAACAATGGCAATGGCAACTGAATGCAACAGCAAAAAATTCGGCTCCAGAAATGGATGAGAATACAAGTTAAGATATTCTACAATCAACTCCATGCTTGAAGCACTCACTCATCTCTGCCAAGAAGTGTGGGAGATAGCTACTTGCCCATTCTAAAGAAAAGTGATCCAACAGTGATATCAACTAACATCACTCACAACACATGCCAATGTAAAATTTGCTGAAGATAGTTAAAAAGGTTACAATAGCTCAACAAAAGGAAACTGCCTAAATTCCAAGTCAGATTGAGAAAGTGGATATGCGGCAAGAGGTACCATTGGTGATGCCAGGAAGATCTTCGCTGGAAGCAGAGAATACCTGACGTTTACCTGTATTTTATCGTGCATGCAATGGCATCCCACTGTGTGGATCCTAACAAGCTATGGATAACACTGCAAAGAGCAGGAGTTTGAGAACACTCAATTGTGCCAGTGCCAGGTCCAAAGGGCAGTCGTTAGAAAATGAGGGGATACCACATGGTTTAAAACCGAGAAAGGTGTGCATCAGGGTATTATCCTTTCACCCTATTTATTAATCTTGATAACTAATGTATAATGAACAACTGCATCAGGATGGGAGGAAGGCTCAGAACAGTTTATAAACTGCAAATGACACCACCTTGTTCGCAGAAAGCCCAGAGGACTGGAAGCACTTACTGATGAAGACGAGATTATAGCCTTCAGTGTGGATTACTCCCAAGTGGACCAACAGATAACGTCACAATAAAGATTAAAATTGTTAAGGATTTCATTTTCTTAGATCTACTACTATCAATGCCCATGGAAGGAGCAGCCAAAAAATAAAACGATAGAGTTAACTGGGTAAATCTGCTGCAACAGGTGTCTTTAAAGTATTAAAAAGTCAAAGATGCCATTTTGAAGACTAAGTGCTTCTCACGTACTTTGGACATGATGATCAGGAGGGACGAGTCCCCAGAGAAGGACATTGTGCTTGGTAGGTAAAGCAGATGATCAGAGCCAACGAGGGAAACCCAACAAGATGGACTGACAGTGGCTCTAATAATGGGCTCAAATACAGTAACAATTTGTGAAAATGACCCAGGACTGGGCACTGACAGTGACTCGCCAACATTTAAAAACAACATCAATTTATTCTCCATATAGTCTGCTGTCTAAGAAATTATAAAGTGACTGTTTGCTAAGGTTAAGCCAGTCCTTCTCAGAATCCCTGTAGGGGCCCCCATTCCATGTGGAGAGTAGTGTCAACTACTCTCATGGCCTCCAGGGTGGTCTCGTGATCTGGCACCCAGTGACCACCCATTCTTTCACTTGCTGTTCTCAGGCACGTCAATCCTGCCTTTGCACGTGGCCTAAGAGTGCTCCAACAGGCTAACCTCATGTGTTCTATTCTCTGCCCAAGCCTCCTCAGAAAAATCTTCCTCAAAAACTCCATCTGAAAAGGCACAATTATTTCCACTCCCCTCAATGACTTGTCACCTGCTAGAATGAGAATACTGTCACCAACCCCGAAATAGTGGGATGACAGAATCTGTCAACTAGAAACACTTGTTTACAAAACAAATCACCGCCAAATGAAGACCTTTCTGAGAATTAAGTGAGATTCCCAAATATAAACAACCCAGTGTGTTAGATACTCAAAACCATTAAAATATTTTCCCTCTGGCTTTGGGGAGATCCAGAAAGACCACACCACCATGTCTCTACAATGAACTCTCAAGTTTCATAAAAAAAAAACAAAAAAACCATCTATTTATCTGCTAACAATTGGTGGACTAACACCCCACCCCCACCCCCAGCATCCAGTAACAAAAGGAGGTCCTCCAGAAGTCCCTCCATTGGCCAGTAAGGATTACCCAGCCCGGCCTCCAAAGTGCACCTCTAGACCCCAAGGCACCCACCCCCATGGGGCCCACTGCCCGGTGCCTTACCCTCATTGGCTCCTTTGCGAAGCTGCTTGTAGTTACAGGACTGCTGAACGAGGTCCAACAGCTTCTTGGTGAGGTGGGCATCTGCGAGGGGATAGGCTTTTGGATTTACATCTGCCTCAGTCTAGGGGAGACACCAAAGCATCAGTCAAGGTGAATCAGAGGGTATGTCCCAGACAAGTTACAAAAATACCACAAACCATAAATGAGACGGAACATATACAGAACACCAGCCTGCCCACCACCCACCTAGAAACAGAATAGTTACCACACCTACTTCCCTCTTACTGACCATCTGACACCTCACATTTATGACAGTAGTAGAAACCCCACTCTCCAACACACTAGCAACAACACACATTTGGTACAAGGGCTGGGGCGTGAGATGAGAGTTAACACTGGCCCCGCCGGTTCAGGCTAGGTGTCACCTTGCCAGAGCCAGGATTAGGAAAGAGGCAGCCACCCTCACTTTGGCTTCTCATGTGGTTCTTTCCCATTCTGTGTAACAACTTGATCATGTGGTTGTGAGGAGTGGGCGTATCAAAGGTCTTAAGAAACCACAACTAACCCCCTCCCCCACCCCATACCTTATGTTAACAATCATTCAGCCCAATAATGCAACACTAAAGCTTCTGTTTGGCACGATGTAAAATTCCAAAGCCCACCAGGGTTGTATCCTTTCTCCATACTGTTTATTCAACCTGAGCAAATATACTGAGCAAATAATCTGAGGAACTAGACTACGTAAAACCCTGCACTAGGGTTGGAGAAAGGCTCATTAACAACTCATGATATGCAGATGACACAATCTTGCTTAAAATCAAAGATGGCAATCCATACACTGCAACTCAACATAAAGAAGGCCAGCAGATAATATCATTATAAACAGAAGATCAAAACAGTCAGGATTTTCATTTTGCTTGGATCCAATCAGTGCTCATGGGAGTAGCAGTGGAGAAATCAAATGACATACTGCACTGGCTAGCTCTGCTGCCTAAGACCACTTCAGTTTGGATGAGCAAGGACTTCACTTTGAGAACCAAGGTGAACCTGTCATGTCAATAATAGAGAAGACCTAAGAACTGACACATCATAATGTTTGCAAAAAATACCGACTACCGTGAACTGCCAGAAGAACCAACACACCTGCTTGAAAGATGTACAGCCAGAATGCTCTTTAGAAGAATGCACAGAATGCCCTACATACTTTGGACATGGTACCAGCAGAGACCTGTCCCTAGAAAAGAACATCATGTCTGGGGTAATAGGTCAGACAAAAAAGAGGAAGACCTTGAACTAGAAGGCTTGACTCACCGGCTGTAACAATGGGCTCAAACAGAACAATGTGAGCACAAGGGTCTGTGAGGGAGGGGAAAAATGAGCTGATACGATACCAAGGGCTCAAGTAGCAAGAAAATGTTTTGAAAACGATGATGGCAACCAATGTACAAATGTGCTCGACACAATGGATGGATGGATGGATTGTGATAAGTGCTGTATGAACATCCAATAAAATGATTAGGGGGAAAAAAGAGGCAGTTACTTCTGTTTTGGTGTCCGGTCCATCTCTGGAAATCACAACATTCGATTCTCAGTATCAAAGGTAAAATCGGGCTAACACTTCAGGAACCTCTAGAATCACTAAAGGGGAATCATTCTATTGTTTGTGTGGTCACCCAGCCAGTCCAAACTTACAAGCTCCTGACCTGATCAACACTGCCGGTCGCTCCCTCACTCCGAGAAGCAGGAATACGTCTTGATTTAACGCCCTCAACATCCTCAGGCCTCGTTAGCGGAGGAAACCTGAGATCATCCACTTCCCAAACTTCCCGAGCCGCGAGGGAAGCACGATGAGCAAGCACCTCGCCCCGTTTGGGGGTTCAGGTGCTAAGCTAAGCCACACAACCAGCGTTGAATCTGAGCAGCAGGAGGCCCAGTGGCAGTTCCGACAGCCTACCTCCCGCCAGGTGCGTGTCTTGCAAACCCGCCAACCAGAACTGACCACTACGATTTGCCGTCCGCCGGGACGACGGAAACCTGAAGATGATGGAGAGTTTTAAGAAGCCGCACGTGGCCCCCCTGGGGCTTACTGTCGTTTCTCCAGGCGCCGCCGCCTGGCGGGACACTTTCCCGCGCGCCAGGCCGGGCATCGGAGCCCCAATGAACGCTCCCACTCCCACGCCCGAGCACGTGCACCTCACGGCAGGCCCTGGCCGCCTCTCCTCCGAACCGCGGTCACGCGGAGGGGGCGAGTGTGACCGAACCCCACGGCTCCACGCCTTCCGCGAGAGGTCGCGAAAATACCCATTTTTCAAAGGGATGTAAAGGGTCGTCCCCCCCCCCAAGCTTTCTGTCCTTTCCCACATGCGTTGACAGTTGCTGAACCGTGCTGCCGACCAAAGGTTGGACACTACGGTTCCCCGAGTTCTAGCCCCGGGCCTGACGGCGGGGACCCCGCGGGTGCCAGAGACGACGCACGTTTTCGCCCTGCGCTCGGCGGCCGGGCTCGAACCTGCCCGAGTTCAACCTTGGGCCGGGCGTCAGAGGGGTCGCACGGGAACCGAACCCGAACTTCTCGATTCCTAGCCCCTTCGCCCAGCGCCAGCACTCACCATGGCTGCGGTTCCGTGGTCTCGCCACTCCGGGAGGAGCGCGGCCAAAGTTGGAGCGCGAGCGGTGCCTGCGCCGGAAAGCCGCACTGGGAAGCAGCAAATGGCTGCCCCAAGCCGGAAGCGGAAGTGACGCGACAGTGGTGTGTCGGATTTCACGTCCCGTAGGGGCACGAGGGCGCTGAAATGGCTCTGGTTCCGGATCAGGGCCCGCATTTTGCGATTGTTACTATGGCTTTCTACCACCTCTCCGTCAGTATTTGGTACTGCGGTGGCTCTCTTGTTGCTTGAATGCTGGAAACATTGCTGCTAGTATTTGAAATAGGATCACCCTTGACGGGCAGGTTTCAGCAGAGCTTCTACACAGACTCGGAAGAAAGACCTGGTGCTCTACTTCCAAAAATTAGCCGGTGAACCTCATGGATGTGGTCAATGGCCAGGAAATGTTTCTTTCTATCCAGGGTTGCCGTGAGTGGGCGATAATTTCCAACTCCACTCACCACCTTCAGCTGGGAGTGATTTGCTCCATTGTCTTAGCTTAACTAACTCCTGCTCACCATCCCTCCATGGAAGCCTCCTGATGACCTAGACCAGCTTCAATGCCCCTACTGGACTTCCCTACAAGCCCCCATCATTGAATTTTGTAGCACTCCTTAAATCTTGTCTGGTGTGGTGCCTGACTTCCCACACACACTAAGAATGACACAAAAGCAAGGCTTGCAGCCATCTGGAGTACTCCAGAGAGCTCTCTTCTGGCACCATGCCTTGTATCAATTAGGGATCTCTGGAGGCAAACAATCCAAAAGGAATTTGATGAAGGCTGTGTGTGTGTGTGTGTGTGTGTGTGTGTGTGTGTGTGTGTGTGTGTGTGTATCTCCGAGGCCCAAGGCCAGCTGGTTGTAAGAGCAAAACCAGTCCTACAGTTTCACTCCACTATCCAGGTTCTCAAGCCAGAGACGGCCAGGAATGCCCCTGTCAGTAATATATTACTCATTACTACAAGAGAGCACATACACACACCAAGAGGAGCTAGGGCTGTAGGATTTTAGATTTGGGGCTTTTGTTAGATGACTTGTGAGAGACCTCAAGGACGGTGGGGTGTGCCAGGAAGCATGATTAATTCTGGATGGAATATCTGAACAAATCTTATCTACAAGATGGTTGGACTGAGCGAGGCTAACTAAAGCTACTTGTGGCTTAGACAGTGTTCATATTTTTGGCTGTGTTCAGACATGGTGTGATAGGTAGGTTTGTTGTGCCAACATGGGCAATGAACACATGTGAGATTAATTGAAGGGCAGAGAGATAAATGACTCTCTCTCTTGCTCTTGGATCATCAGACCAGTGTGTGGCTGCTTTGCTTGTTCTGTGCCTCCATTTTCAAGCTCACACTACCTGTGAGTCACCTAACCCGTGGACTGTGTTGCCGTAACTTGAGGTTCCTTCAAGACCTGCTTTGCCATGCTACTGGAATGTACATCTCTTGAGCTGGGGACTGTCAGACCCTGTCATCTGGCTGACTGTTGGTGACCTACCTTGCTGTTTGCTGCCTGTGGCCAGATAGCATGAATTGCTCTATGGAGGACTACCTGGTGGCCCTCAAGACTTGAAGGACTGCCAGTGTACTAACTGTCTCATGGAAGTGAGTTGCACTGAGCCATTTGTACTGCTTTATAGATTAATTAGCTGTTTATTTCTTATGTTATCTATATAAATATATATAATTATTACTGTCCTGGTGTTGTTTCTCTAGAGAACCCTGTCTAACACAATTGGTGCCAGTGTTTTCTAGAGAAATAAAATCATAAATATGGGCTTCCTTTTTTTTTTAATGTTTTTTTTAAGATCACTTTATTGGGGGCTCTTAAAGCTCTTATAACAATCCATACGTCAATTGTACTAAACCTAGTTGAAATATGGGCTTCTTAAATTGGCTCTCCAGCCTGATTAGTCTTAACAGCACTGATAATGCTATTTCTACACCTAAAGGCATGGATAAGTCTGCCACTCTTACTAATCCATGGTGTGAAATAGCAAAGGTAATATCTACAGTATCACCACCGATAGATGAGATGTTGGTTAAAGGAGAGGCTCTGGGTGATCGTATGCTTGATATTTTCCAGCAGTTTTGTCAGGATAGTATAGGGAAGTATAGGGAAGCTGGTTGGCTGGCCCTCCTTACAATGGGAAATGTGATTAAGGAGAGGGATGGTCTCAGGGTCTCAGAAGTGTGCCTCAGGCGCCGACTTATAGACTTAAGAGCTTCCGCTTGTTTTACAAAGGAGAGCCTTCTCTCCTCTAGTAATAGGGCTGACATTGCTGAGAACCAGGTCCAGAGTCTCATTATGAAAGTAGCTGAATTACAACATCAGCTGAATTGCAGATCTAGAGCAGTGTCTGATACCAAAGTGAGGGCATTGATAGGAAAAAGTTGAGACCCTGAAACATGGGATAGGAACATATGGACTGATGGGAACATAAAGGAGGTTATTGAGCCCCTAGAAACAACTGACCCACCCCAGTCAATAGATTCACCCCTCCCAGCTGAGGCTATTAATTCACTATCAATAAAACAACCCACACCTGAGAAGATTAGCCAAACTGTTCAAGCTGAAATGCCTGGTGGGGCTGCATCTGCAGCATTGCCTGAGGGAGATGCCTTACAAGACGTTGCTGAGAGCTCCCAGGGAACACCCTCACCACCATTATTTTCTCTACACCTGTCACTAAAATTAAGGCTCAGAAAGCTCCTAAAGGTGAGGTTGAGATGTTTACCCAAGAAGCAAGTTACCGTCAACAGCAGTGAGCAGCACTGTCGTAGGGAGGAGATGGACAACAATGAACCAAACCTCATCTTCCTGGGGCTTCTGTGTGAAGTGCGCTCCATCCAGTCTGCCACTGAGCACTTGGAAACTGGCTAGTTGGAACCGAGATTTGTAAAATGCTCACAGGATTCAGAAGCTGAACATGACATTAAAGAGTGTAACTATTTTAATATTGAGATATTGAAATGATAGTGTTTGGGCTGTACTGGATTAAGTAAAAGATGTTTATAAATTTAAAAAAAAAGAGCTTTCGGATACATACAAGCAGAGACCTGGGGAATATCCCTGGAAATGGTTACTAAGGGTGTGGGATACTGGTGCATGAAATGTAATATTAGACAGGTCTGAGTTTCTGGATATGGGACCCCTAAGCACAGACTCTTCTTTCAATGTTTCTGAAAGAGAGGCTAAGAGGGGATCTAATTCCTTAATTGGTTGGCTCACTGAAGCATGGGTTGCCAGATGGCCTATATTAGACCAACTTGAGTTGCCTGACCTACCTTGGTACACTGTAGAGGAAGGCATCCAAAAGCTTAGAGAAATCGGTATGTTGGAATGGATCTATCAGGATATTCCCATAGACCCAAAAAGGGGGTGTCCTGAGGACATACCCTTCACCACAACCATAAGGAACAAGTTTGT